GCGCGGGAAAGGGCTTGTGGGGGCTGATGCTGTAACTGCTTTTTGCTCCACTGTTGTTCGGTGGATCCCAATCGTTTCCCTTCAGAGGATTCTGCATCCCAAGTGCCTTCAAACAGAAGCCTCTGGAACCTTCCCCCCCCCCCCCCCCCCCCCTCCCCCGCCCTGCCATGAATCCTTCAGTCACCTGTCCCTGTCCCCTGCAGTATGTGTCCTGAGTTTGCAAATTTTTCATATGCCTCAGAAGTTGGAGGGTCACATCCTGTAGCAATGCCCCATTGTGTGGCTTGTGGGTCTCCTTCATCTGTGCAGGAATGATGAGAAAGGGCTACAACCCTGAACCTCTAATTGACTCAGTGTGAGTCCAGTTTCTCTTTCAAACTCCTTCCCAGGCCCGGTTCCTTTGTGAAGGGGACCCTACCCCCACCCCCATTTCCCACAGGGTACTAGGCAGAAATCAGCGCTGCTGTGATCAGGAAGTATGTTCCAAACTGGCAGTCAGAATCCCGAAATCATTGGATTTATATACTGAAAGGTGTCTATGCAAATCACTTGTGACTTTTCATTGATGTGGCACTTTAATGCCTTTGACACAGCAACTGGCCCTAGAAACATTCATTTTTGGCTAACTCCATAGCTGAAGACCCAGCATCAGAGAGGCAAACCAACACACCACTCAAGGTCACCGGTCTACTTAAGGACTTTTGAGATACCCGGCTGACTTTACTGGCTCTGGCATGCTCCCTCTCTCTCTCTCTCTCTCTCTCTCTCTCTCTCTCTCTCTCTCTGTCTGTCTCTCTCTCTCTCTCTCGGTCTCTCTCGGTCTCTCTCTCTCTCCTCTCTCCTCTCTCCTCTCCCCCTTCTCTCCCCCTTCTCTCTCTCCTCTCTCTCTGTCCTCTCTGTCTCTGTCTCTCTCGGTCTCTCTCTCTCCTCTCTCCTCCCTCTCTCTCTCTCTCTCTCTCTCTCTCTCTCTCTCTCTCTCTCTCTCTCTCTGTCCCCATCCTCTTAAAATAGTTCTGTAGAATGTGGTTTGTTTGGTATCTCTAACTCCAGTTCACATATTTTGAAATGGTTGAGACAAAACACCAGCCTAAGTAAGTTTTTCAACTAAGTTTTTTAACTGCACATTTGGCAGTATGATATGTATTTGCCTTTTTCAAAGAAGAAAGAAAAGACCCAGATCAGTGGGATTTACAACAAAAATAATAATAATAATCAAGAATGCTTTGTCACAAATGGCCTTGGATGAAACAGTTTCCAGGAATGTCCTCTCACACTTAGTTCCTTCAGACCAGTTTATTTTTGGTAGCAGAGTAACAGGCAGCAAACACAGTTTTAAAATAATCCTTGCAGGCCCTGGGAACTTACCATATTGAAGAAATGTGATTGTAGATCTGTGTTGTCTGGGTCTTCACCTGTCAAAATTGCACTGCACACATCTATATATATTATCCCACTATTAGGATTTTCATAAATATTAATATACTCATAATCCTAGATCATAAATTCTTAAAGGGAGACAAAATTTATATATGATGCCAAGTAATTCAATGTATTGCTAATAAATCTCTGAGATATGACAAAATATGTTATTAAAGGACAAAATGAAGATAGAGATTGTGTGGATACCTAAGCAGGTAAATAGCACCTAGGTGTGTCCTTTAAGTTGCTTATTTCTGGGAAGGAAAAAAAAACTCTAATCTGCTTTACCTACTGAGTATTCAAGGGCCAGTAGCAACTGTAAGTTTTGACCTCTGCTGTAAAAGTGTGGAGTAATGAGAGACATGGAAAGAGGAGCTGCAAACACCCAAATGGAAGAGAGGAAGAAGACACAAAGAAGAGCGGAGGAAGGACACCACCGTCCAACAGCCACCAGAAGTTGACGTGTACCAACCTAGTTTTAAAGAATCAAGCTTTGTCAAATGTGAATGTTGTAAAGTATATGAAACCTCTCTTATATAAATAAGGAGAAATCTAAAGACAACATGGCAGATTAAACAAGTCGATTATTATGCTCCCCACATACATGCTTCATGACGTGGGCTGTTTCGCTGTGAATTACAGACCCTTTAGATACCACTAAGCAAATCTAAGAATGGTGAAGAAAGTGAGAAAGAACCGGGCAAGTGTCAGATGCTCTTTTGTGGCATTAATGAATATCCCTAAGAGTTTCTTCTGCAGCTTCCCTAGTGTGCATATCCTGGAATTGGATGCCGAAATCACTTCAAGGGAAGAGGGTTAGACAGCAGTTAATGGAGGCTATGGCAGGTGGGAATGATTTTAGATTTATCCTGAATCTGGATTAGGCACTGTGGCCTTGGTATGCCCTTCAAACAAATAAAGATAGCCTGGAGAGATCTTTAGAATTAATTGCTTTTTCAAATCTTTTAAGTGTAGCTCTTGCTGATATTCCACTGTAGGATACACTGGCACTTTTAGGATACATTGATACCTCCATGGAGAGTATGATACATGGTATTCTCAGTTGTCCTCACATACAAGAAAAGAAACTAAGAATTCAGCCTATAATAAATCCAGAAACCATTTCCCTAGCCTTATGCTGTGCTTGAGAGTTGGGGGCTACATGTATCATACCCTGTAGCACAAAAAAATAAAGACCAAGAGATTGATATTGGGGGTTAAGCTTCAAAGTGAAGATCAGTAAAGCAAAGCAGTCAGCCACTAGCTCTTACCTCTGCCTCATGCTGAAAAGGCTGATCCTGTCTCCACGAATCCTCAGAGACAATGCTATCTCCAGAAATCCCCAGAGGTAAAAGCTCTGAGTTCCTGTCTCCTTCTGCCTTATATTCCTTTTTTTTTTTCCACCCAGCCATATCACTCCTGCCTCCACATCCCTAGTGCTGGAATTAAAGGCCTATGATCCCAAGTGCTGGGATCAAAGGCATGAACTCGGTTACTCTTCACTCTTGTGTAGGCCAGGTTGGCCTTGAACTCAGAGTGATCATTTTCCTGTCTCCTGAATCCTGGGATTAAAGGTGTGTACCACCATCATCAGACCTCTGTAGCTTGTGGCTGACTTTGCATCCTGAACCCTCAAGCAAACTTTATTAAATCATAAATAATAAACCACCAAAGACACAAGACTCGTCAGTGCAGAGCATAGTTTGTAAGGCACCAGAACCTAAGCAGTGTCTGTAGCCTCGTGTCCGCATGGTTCCACATGCAGAGAGGTCCACAACTTACAGCTTCGCTCCTCTCCACTTAACCCTAGCTTCACATACCAGTTGTATCATCCAAAGACAAGTCTCACTAAGCAGGTCCAGTTCAAAAGTAGACAACACCCCCAAGCTTTTTCTTTTAATCTTCATTATGCCAGTTATCCAGTTGCTCACTCATTCTGTTGTTCAAGCCAAAATTTCTGACGTCATCCTTGCATTTTCTTTTCACATTATTGTATGAAATTGAAAGGTCCTTCAAATGTACTTTCAAAATATACACCAGATTCTACTACTACTTTTCACTGCTATGCCCACCATCGCAGTTCAGACTGCCATCCTGGTGCACCTGGATCATCAACATGGTTCTTGGTTGTTCCTGTGCTACTCACCATGGAACCCGCCCCTGCAGCAGCCAGATGATCTGACTCAAGTGTGAATTCAACTCATCAGCTCCCTGCTCAGTATCACTGATGGCTTCCCATAATAGTTGGTGCACTATCAAAACCTTAGTACACCCCTACCTCTGACTCTGAAGACATCTGCATACCCTGCCTGGAATTCACTTGTTATTTCCCAGGATCTTGTTCTTCTCCATTTTTGTCTTTAAGACTCATTCCTATCCCTCATTTCACTCACCCCCTCCATCTTAAACAAGATCCACTCTCATTATAAATCTGACCTTGGTCGAGTTCCCTGGTTCATCCCACCACCCAATATCCACTCGTATATTCACGTTTTATATATTTTCTTATTTGTTTTCTCACTTAGCATCTTTGACATACACTTGCCCTATAGGAAACTGTCTTGCTCGGGGTTCTATCACCAGTGCCTAGACCAGAGTAGTACACCACAAATATTTACTCAAAAAACAAACAAACAAACAAAGAAGTCTGTCATGCAGGAAATTCTTCACCAGTTTACATGTTTAAAGCACTGTGCAGCTGGTTAAGCAGACATTCTCAGGTGGGAATGCAATCATTAGTATAAATATGCTTCTTCCATTGGATGCAAGCTATTCTCCACTTCTTAACTGAGTTAATAAAAATTATCTCATTTTCTTTGTCATGTATAGAGGACTTAGTAGAGAGTCCTCTGTTACCAGGGATTAAGTGATATCAAAATCTTAGATGATTTGATCATGTTCACCAAAGACACATGATCACATGATATTGCTGTCATTTCGAGAGTTTCAGAAATTGCTTACAATGCAATTCCTGTTTACTTAAGTAATATTATATTCTTCTGGGGTCTTTGATGGAGTTGAAGACTAAATAGTAATAATTATAGTTTTCCTTAGTTATAATAAAAGATAAATTAGATATACAACTTTAGACTCACAGATAGGATAAACAAGAGTATTTTCATTATTTTTAACCAAATACAAATAGACTAAATATGATAACTGTAATTCTTGCATTATATCTGTTTTGTTATGTGTAATTTTACTATGTTAAAGTTAAAAACCTTCCTTCTTAATTAGACAGAAAAGGGGAGATGATGTGGGATGCCCACATCATCTGTATGCTGTGAATATGTTTTATTGCCATTGGTTAATAAAGATGCGGATTTGGCCAATAACCAGACAGGATAGAGCCAGTCAGAAAATCCAAACAAATGTACAAGGGGAAAAAAGGCAGAGCCAGGGAAACAGCATGTAAGCCGCTGGAGAAGTTAGATGCCAGAGCATTGCTGATGAGCCACAGCCAGGTGGCAATACATAGATTAATAGAAACAGGTTAATTTAAATGTGAGATTAAAAGAGTGATGGCTTTACAGGCAGCTGCAGGACCGGGAGGGATACATAAAAGCATCAGCTATAGACACATGACCAATTTTAAAAGTCAAGACCTAAGGAGTCAATGTGAAGGAGAAAGGATACATACTGGATAATTTGACTCATCTTTCTACAGACCTGCTGTGTCCTTCTCTGGTTTTATATAATTTAATTTTTCTTTTTTAGCTTATATCAATTCTACCCATAGTTTAAGAATATTATTTCTTTTCATCTTTCTAGTATTGGTTACAATATCTCACCACAGTTTTCTATCCCTGGCAATTTTTTCTACTCTTAAAGGCTTCCAAATCTAAGATAGCCAGGTCCTCTCTATCTTCACTATGCTCCCTGGCCCTCGCCAACGTAGTGTGACTACTGTCCTTCAAGTTCCTGGTCTCATCTGTAAAAGCTCTAGAATAACTAAACTTTGCAAACAAACAAATGTCATCAAAACTTCCTGATTGCCACCAAAACCACCCCTCTTCATCCCCCCTCCCCGAATGATATGAGACCTTAAAATACAGGAAACCAGTCTCTTAAAGACTGTGCATGATATGTAAAAGGTCATATTGCACTAAAATAAGGAATCCTTGTGTTCTCTCCTGTCTTGAATGTTGGAAACACAAAAGAGTTCTTCACATCAGAGATGTGAATGCCCAAAGTGCCTAATTAAAACACCGTGGATGTCTGCATGCACGGGCATCCAGAACCAACCTGCCATCTGGAATATAGTAAAATCGATGTCACTTGACAGGGCAGCCAAAACACTAATGAAGCCATCTCTGGCTCTGCCCAGCTGAAAATCATCTTGTTTTCTACCAAACACTAAATGTGTTTTTATGCTACATCTCGAATGCTATGCCTTGCATTACAGCATTAGACACGTTTTTATTTGGACCTTTCCCATTGTTCTA